CCCCTCCCTCCAGACAAGTATAAGCATTTACAGTAACTTAACACCTTCTATGATATTACAGAAAAAGAAACTGTTTTTCCCATTTCATGACTAAACTTTTTTTTTTTTCCTAATAATTGAAAATGACAACAAGCTGTTGCTGTGAAAGGCACTTCAAATTTTAAACAGGTAAACTTGGTTTTCTTCTGATAGTGAATACATATCAGAAATTCCTTATCCCTTAATTTAACTAGTGCAGAGATTAAATTATATTCAGAGGAGATAATACATTATAAAGTTGTTAAAACATACCTGGAATGGTAACCAACTAGTTTGGTGTTTCAAGCTTCCAATTTGTGATTGTTTTCTTCTAACTTTTTATTTTCCTCTATATTTCCAAGATCTTTATCTACATGTTTTGAAGCTGATCTGAAACAGAAACAAGAATACTGATGTCTCATCTTGCTGTTGTTATTATATCCAATTATTGGATTGATGCTCAACATTATGACCACTGCAACAGAAGATTGTTCCACTACCAACATAGGAATCTGATTTTACTGGCAAATGAAAGACTATAATGCAGTTAATCCTGCAATAATGTATACACAGTGACAACTTTGAATTTCTATTTTGCTCTCATTTATAAATATATACATTAACTTGTTTGGCTGTAAGAATTTGCATTTTTAAGAAAAGTTATTAGCAAGGTTTAATTTAAGGTTCCTTGAAATAATATGCATTTTAACACTGAAATGCTATTAACACATTTTTATCATTAAAGTACTCCATTTATATGCATTGAGATAATAATTGCCCTTCTGAAGTCTAAACTGAACTGTTGAAAATTAGAATGTTAAAAAGATATCTTTCTAGCTGGGTTTTCCTGTGTGAGAAACTGATTTGGGGTGATTTCAATTAATTATGAGCAAGTTCTGGAAAAATAAAAATATAGTTCTATAAAAGTTCTATAAAAATAAAAAAAATAAGCAAAACTATGGCTTATTTCACCCATAGCATCCCATAACTCTGATACTGGTTTTTCTCCAAATATACAAGTTTTGCCTCCTTCGATATTCCTAATTTCTTTTCCAAATCAACATTTAGACTGAAAATGCAAATTTATTTACTAGGTACAATCTACTTATGGTACATTTACACACACACACAAACATTCTCAGCCACTGGTAAGTAGTTCTTAGCTTTTAGCAGCCTTTGGATCTTTCTGCCTCACTTGCTCTCCCCATATCTCCACATCCCTAACAACTCATTTGCTTTTGTAGCATTTGCTTTCATGAAGGAGCAAGCTGATACTTCCAAAATAAATGAATCCCATCCCTGTGCTAATGACTGGAGCTACTATTAGGACATTGTTTTTTTGCAGGTAGCCATGAGAAGGACTAGCTCAATTTCTGCTGGCTTCCAGATGTCTCTTAAGCCCAACGCCTATAAATACTTATATACAGAAATGCCCTAGATGTTCAAGAGAAGTAAAGAAAAAAGGAGGCATGACTCATTTAAATCAAGATATTCACTTTTACTCATAGATTCATGTTTTAATTGACTGAAGGGTCTGAGTAGTTTAATACCACTTTAAAGCTTTTAATTAGAGAAAGGAACTTTCACAATCTATTAAGGTGAGAGGCATCTGTATTAGTGTGATAACATTTTAAAGAGTTTGGCTTTAGAATGTAAATGGCCAAACCCACGTAAGTGCTATAAATGAAATCCTTTGTGGTACGGGGATCCTATAGATACCCACCTTTCCCACTGCAAAAAGATATTTGTGATGAGCTGATGTCTATGCTCAATATGGGTTTTGAGCAAAAGACATCAAGGAAGTTCTAATGTGACTAAGTTTTCAAATGGATTGTGCAGAAAAGGAACGATGTAGAAATCCCACAAAGACATTCTGTTGGATTTTCAAAAACTGTTGGTTTCTTGGCTTAGAAAATTTCTGCAAATGTTTTAGAAAGAAAATTTTGTAAAAAGTAATGAACTCTACCAGGACTAAGTGAGGGTAGTGGGTTTTCTTCCTTAGTGAATATTTTATTGCTACACAAGGATGGCTTTGCATCTTCACTTTTGTGTAAGGTACTGCTTTACCAATGTAAAAAGAGAGAGAAGAGGGGGGGGGGAAGCAAATATATGGTATCATCATGATCAGATGATCCAGTTTCTGTCAGTCATGGGAACTGTGAAATCGTACAACAGTGTAATATTGGTGCTAATTTTTTTCTTTCCTTGTTCTCTATTATGTCTAAATCACAAGAGGCAGTAGCAAAATATGGATACATTATTTGATCTGATTAATTGTAGAAGTTTCAGGCACAGGAACTATTTTAGAGAAAACTAGAGAAACTATTGAATATAGGAGTACTGATTGCTATTGTATCATGGTCATCTACTGCTGTCCTCTTACGATTAAGATCCATTATTTCTTAAAACCAATTTAAGATTGGCCTTTTGAAACTTGGCTGTGTGTGTGTGTGTATTTGAGTTTGATAGCTGGGTTTGACATAAACAGAAATAAACAAACAAGTATAATAAAAATCCTAGGAAATTAGTCCTATTTAAATGACGTGCAAAGAAAACTTATGGAAAATACAATATAATATTTTTCTTGAGGTGCCATTTATTCACAATGTATCAGGGATCATTCTATACAGTCCTGGCCTCTGGAGGGTTCCAAGTAACATTATTCCTAATATTTCCCAGTATAAACTTGCTGCAATTGCCTACTGATTTCCAGAGATCAGTACAACTTTCCCTTTTATATATAACTTTTTTTTAAGACTTTTTTTTATCCCGCCTTATTTTTTTAATAAATAACTCAAAGTGATGAACATACCTAATACTCCTTCCTCCTCCTATTTTCCCCACAAAACAACCCTGTGAGGTGAGTTGGGCTGAGAGAGAATGACTGGCCCAAAGTCACCCAGATGGCTTTCAATGCCTAAGGCAGGACTAGAACTCACAGTCTCCTACTTTCTAGGCTGGTGCCTTAGCCACTAGACCGAAGTGGCTCTTTATAATCTTTTTATAATATGCCTCTTCAAACTTTATATGTCACACCCTTTGCTTACCTCAGAATCTGTTCAAACCAGAACCAGGTAATTAAAAAATATATTTGTTGGTTTATTTAGTTTATTTTATTAATCAAATTTATATGCCTTATACATCTCACTGTATAAGTGACTCTAATAAAAAAGTAATAAAAAACAATAAAAATCTTTACAAAAATATACAAAAGCTAAAAGATCGAGAGAGCATCCAAAATAAGTAATATGATAAAAAAAGTAATAACTAATGGATTTATCTAACAGTCTAATCTGGAGGTAAACTATATGATAACCTCCAAACGTTTTATTTCAATTCCCATGAATTTTGTATAGTGGTTAAGGCATCAGGATAGAAACCAGGAAACTGTGAGCTCTAGTCCCACCTTAGGCACAAAGCCAGCTTGGTGACCTTGGGCCAGTCACTCTCTCTGAGCCCTAGGAAGCCGACAATGGCAAACGGCTTCTGAAAAACCTCACCAAGAAAACTGCAGAGACTACTCCAAGTAGTCGCCAGGAATCAACACTGACCTGAAGGCCAAAAAACCCCAAAACAAACAAACAAACAAACAAAAAAACAGAGGTAGCAGAGGCATGGCTAAGGGATTATGGGAGTTGCAGTATAGAACACAAAGAGTTCTAGATTGCCTATCCCTTATTTAACCTCACTTCCCTCAAAACATATATTTATTCTGACATTACTTTCCTTATCTCTGCTAGAGTCCATTTAGAAAGTCACAGCATATAAATTTAATAAAATCAAAACCTAAATGTCCCTCTGCTAATTCTCACTCTGAACCATGACTCCTTTCACTCTTCTTCTTTTCACTTATTTCTACTAAAAAGTGTTTCTGCCTATTCTAATCTAAATTCTCAACAGAGTTTCCAACAATATTCCATTTTTATACTGTTTATCATTTATCATTGTCAGTGACATGAAGAATGTTCAGTCAAAAGAAAAGGCAAAGCCCTAGAATGATGTAATGTAAATGGCATATAAACATTTATTAATAGTTAGAATATGTTCAGTCCATGAAGGCAGATCAAAGGGAAATACAGTACAAATAGTCCTCAACTTACAACCATTTGTTTAGTGACTGCTCAAAGTTAGGACAGTGCTGAAAAAAGTGGGCAACCACAAGATTCGCTTAACAACCATGTGATTCACTTAATGACCCATCCTCGCACTTATGACCATTGCAGCATCCCCATGGTCATGTGATCAAAATTCAGGTGCTTGGCAACCAGCATGTATTTATGATGGTTGCAGCATCCTGGGATCACATGATCACCATTTGCGACCTTCCCAGCCAGCTTCCGACAAGCAAAATCAATGGGCAACCACAAGATTCACTTAACAACCATGTTATTCACTTAATGACCACCACAAAAAGTCCTAAAATCAGGTGCGGTCAGGTGATGCCTCACTTAAAGACTGCACTGCTTAACAATGAATTTTCTGGTCCCTATTGTGGTCATAAGTTGAGGACTACTTGTATATTTTTACAGTGTTTGTGATTATTATCTATGCACAGTATGTTGATATCCCTGTAAGGCTTTTTTCTTTCTTGGCTTTTAGATTCCTTGGTGCTGCTTCTTTCTTTTCCTGCTAATTCATTCCAGCTCATGTTGATGTTGTTATATAGTGTTTGTTTCTAAAAAAAAATAATACTAAAGGCTGTCCCCAGTAATAAGCATACAACCCATTTTCATTATATTACTTTGGTATAAATCTTACACCAACAGACATAAGATGGACAAATGTATCCCTATAATTTAAAACAAAAACAAAAACAGAAAACTAGAATTGAACATATGAAATGGAGAGAAGGAAATATACACAAAAATGCACAGGATATACTTTTCTAATCTGTATCTAATACACATATACACAGAGAAGAATGTTTTTACAATTCAACTCTAACTCTGCAGGTTTTGCATAACCCCATCAATATGTAACACTTCATAATACAAAGGGAAACTGAAATGGAAAGCAGTGGCTAGTGCTAGGAAATTTAAGTTTACTATCAGATGTACTGCACATACTAAAGAAGTTATTCTAACTTACAAACCTTCCATTCATCTATCTACAAGATGATAATACCAAGCTTTCTTAAAGAGTTAATGCAGAAAGAGCAGGATTCAGGGAAATGAACAAGAAAGGCAACAAATGGGAATTGAATTACAAAGGGAGAAAGATTGTATTTTTCTTGTTTACAGAAAATCTGCTGGTATATTTCTTAGTGAAAGATCCTAGTCTTTATTTGCTAGATGGAAAAGTGGGCCATAATATCAGATAAGCAAATCCAAGAGAATTAATGAAATATGCCACAAGCTTTTAGACAGAACACTGGAGAGTTCCTTCCTTCC